ATTAAAGGCGTGTGCTACTATCGCCCGGCTCTAACATCTACTCTTGCAGATTTAACCTGCAAAGCAGAACCACCTCCCTGTTTTCATTTGTCAGTCAGGGTAGGATCTTGTAATATAGACCTGGCTGTCCTGGAACTCACAGCAGTCCTCCTGCCTCAGTTTCCAAAATACAAGACTTGTAGGTGTGGGACACTGTCCCCAGTTCATGCGATGTTTAAGATCACACCCAGGTTCTTGTCTGTACTAGACAGTGTGCTGAATAGTAACCCTAGCTTCAGGTGTTGATGTCTATTTCATCAGTTTTGTTTTAAAAAATCCAGTGCATGCATAATTAATTGTAGTCATAAATAACAGAATTTTGCCTGTTGTTGCAGTAGGTAGAACTTGCTATAGATAAATGCAATCCTTGCCATACGCACAAGAACATTTTATTCTTGTACAAGTTCCTAAAACTGAACGAGGAAACAGAGCAGAGGTAAACTGTGTCTAGGACTAGAGTTGTGAGTTGTTGGAATTCCACGGTCATTACCATTTCACTCTGTGCCCCTGCAGAGCAATTACGTTTTAAACAAAAATATATTTCCTATACTACAAAGCACCTTAAAAACGCTGAGTCAGATTATGATGCAAATCAATGCACCATGAAGAAACTGGAATCTCCAGAGCCGGGGAGAATTAATGAGACAACTCGAGTGGCACATTTAACTTTAGGCTCAGATGAGGAAAGATGTGGAAATAATTTACCACTATAAAAATATAATCCTTCTGGGGGTGCACACAGATGAACTAGAAAAATGGCCTGGCTTTCAACACCAAAAATAAACAGAGCCGGTACACTGAATTTTTTTTTTAATTTATTTATTTAGTATACAATATATGCCTTCAGGCCAGAAGAGGGCACCTGACCTCATTATAGATGGTTGTGAGCCATCATGTGGTTGCTGGGAATTGAACTCAGGACTTTTGGAATAGCAGGCAATGCTCTTAACCACTGAGCCATCTCTCCAGCCCCTGTACACTGAATTTTAAAAGGGAAGAAACTTGTCTTTTGTCCTTTCTGAAATTCAGAAACTTGCTTTCACATGAATGTTGGTCTTAAATTTATAACATATGACATATTATATATGATATAAATATATAAAATATATACAATACATCCACATGTGGATTAGCAATGTATAGGCATAAATTAATATCAAGAACGTCCCTGAGTCAGCCCAGCCACTAGGGCATGTGGAAGTAGACATTTAAAAATGATTTGTGTTAGGCCAGGCTGTGGTGGCGCACACCTTTAATCCCAGCACTAGGGAGGCAGAGGCAGGTGGATCTCTGTGAGTTCGAGGCCAGCCTGGTCTACAGAGCTAGTTCCGGGACAGGCACCAAAGCTACAGAGAAACCCTGTTTTGAAAAACCAAAAAAAAAAAAAAAAAAAAAGATTTGTGTTGAGTTCCATCCGTATGTTTAGCCCTAGGAGAAGTGAGCATCCCAAACCAATAACCTGCCAGAGTGAGCACAGTGATGAAGAGTAGAGGATGGTTACACCCAGGACCTTGAAGAAAGAGTCTGGGGACAGCGTTATGAGAATGTTAGAAACAGCATTAGAATTCAGATTTGGGAGAGGAGGGGTGAAAAACAGCCACTCAAATCAAAGTAGAGAAGTAGCAAAAATACCTGAAACAACTCAAATGTCAAAAGTGAACCAGGTAAATAACCCACACGATAGAATGAACTGAGGTACAAACAGTGATTTTCAAAAAAGAATGAACATGGAATGTGTTAGTTTGGAACTGACTCGGGGTATACTCAAACAATGAATATTTAAAATTCACACAATATTGGGGGTAGAGATGGTTCAGTTGCAAGTGCTTGCTATTCTAGAGGACCCAAATTCAATTCCCAGCACCCCAATTGGCACTGGCAGCTGACAATTCCATATAAATCCAACTCCAGGAAAGGTGGCATCCTCTACTGGCCTCAAATGCTTGCACACACATTCAGTCCCACATACAGATATATCTGTGGAGCATGTGTAAAGAAATGAGCATAGAAATGAATGGAAATAGGAAAAAGGATACCTGCACTTATATACACCAATTATTAAACCAGATATTTCTAGTGTGTTAAGAGGTAATGTTTACCATTTTAGAGATTATACTCTATATCAGTGTGATTGTGGGGGAAAATTAAATCGCTATTTACTGTTGATTACAAATAAATAAAATTACAGGACTTGAAGGAAAAAGGAATTCTACAAGGTAATAGCAGAAGATACAAATATCTAAGTAAATGGTGTTTATAGATCAGGCTATGGATACTACGTGGTTTGATATATGCCCTGAGGCATATATCCAACTTTAACTCGTTTTGAAATTAAGATAACTCCCGTTGCTGTGATAGACTGATCTGACTGCTTCAGTTCACAGTTCTAGGTTGCAGTCCACTTTAGTAGGGAAGACAAAATGGGAGATGTTTAGGGGAGCTGGGTTGCACTGCATTCAGTCCGCAGCAATTTACTCCACTTTATGTAAATCAGAATCTCTACCTAGGGGGTGGTGCTGGGCTTTTGCCCAGATGCTAGTCTGGCAGGTGATTCTAACTTCTGTCAGGTTAACAACAATCACAAGAGCATAAACATGGCCAGGTGTAGATATTAGGGCGGAAACCCTGTGATGCAGTCTTGGTGGCTTTATAAGGGTATAAAATACACAAATCCGGGCGGTGGTGGTGCACACCTTTAATCCCAGCAGAGGCACGCGGATCTCGAATTTGAGGCCATCCTGGTCTACAGAGTGAGTTCCAGGACAGCCAGGTCTGTTTCTCAGAGAAACTCTTGTCTTAAAAAACCAAGAGAGAGAGAGGAAGGGAGGGAGAGAAGGAAGAAAGAAAAATAGTCACATGAAGCCCCTACCTCTTGATATACAATGTCCTGAACCTCTTGGAACTCCCAACCAAGGAAACTGTTACCACATTGATCTCTTGTGTTATCCTGTATTTTATTCTATCAAAAAAAAAATGGACTAAAAGAAATTGGAAGATTTAGTAAAGTATATGCATTCATTCTATCCAAATCAAAGCAAAAGTTTAATGCAATTCCTATTACAATCCCAGTGAGACCATTATACACAGGTATTCTATAATTTATGTGGAAAAACAAGAGAACTTTCAATGAAATGCTTTAAAAGGAAAGAGCAATGTTTCAGAAATTACTAAATAGTGCCAGAAATTCATATTCGCAGCGATACGCATACAAATGAATGGAACAAAATAATGCTAAAAGACCTCACAGAATCCCAGGGGGTGCGCAACTGGATGACTGTAGACAGAGCAATTCCATCTAAATCTTACACTTCATGCAAAAATTAAAAACTTGGTTCTTCTAAAGAGCCTACCCAGAAAACGAGCAAGGGTAGGTGTGGTGGCACACATTTAATCCCAGAGAGGTGGATGGATTTCTGAGAATTCAAGGCCAGGCTGGTCTACATACCAAGTTCCAGACCAGAGCTACATAGTAAGACCCAGTGTCAAAACAAAAACAAAGAAAATATTTGCAAACTCTTGATACGTAATTATATAAATTACATAAATGGTTTTTTAAACAGTAAAAAAAAATCTAATTTTAAAAACGAGGTATTTCATGTAGGGAGCTATATGAATAATGATTGATATCACAAATCTTAATTGGAAGTTAGAACAACTGTAAGACTATTACATACCATTAGATCATCTAAAACAGTGATGGGGCCAGTGAGATGGCTCAGTAGGTAAAGGCACTTGTTGCCAAGTCTGACCTGAATTCAGCTCCCGGGTCCCACATGTTGGAAGAACAGAACCAGCTCTCAGAAGCTGTCTGTTGTACATGTGCCATTGCATTCAAGAACTACATGTAGAGAAAATGGACTCCAATACATTGCTGGTGAGAATATAAAATGGTACAGTCATTTCAAAAAAGTTTGGATATTTCTTAAACTGTGAGAAGGAAATCTTTCTTTTATTTGCAAATAATATTTATTAATCAATTTTCCTGTTTTACTCTATGCTTTAATGAAAATGTTTACAGTCTGAAAAGAAGACAATATTTTACCTTATTTGAGAACTAGTGAGACAAATCAGGAGGAAACGTCTATCGTGTGCAAAGTTGGTAATCTTATCTTGATCACCATATGCATATGAAATAAAGTATACTCCACAAAGTTGTCTTCTGGTCTTCACTTATATGCTATGTCCTAAAAACCCACAATCACATCACACACACCAGACAGAAATTAAAATGAAAAATTCTTATTGTCAGTGCCTTATAGGTATCTCTGGATTATTCCCTGAGAAGGCAATACTTCAAGATAAAGTGTCAAATGTCCCATTAGGGACACAAAGATGCATGGAACATATACTACCTATAAGTAACATATATAACCTATAGACTGCTAAGCTATACTGTAATATGTATATAGTTGATAGATGACTAACCTTTTGATGTCTCTATCAGTGAAATGAAAATGCTGCTTTGGATACATACATGAGTGTAGTGATATGAGCAGCGGGGCTGCATCCCAGGCACCCCGGCCGCCTGGCTAGCTTATACCCCGAAATAATTACACAGACACTGTATTCTTTTAAACACCGCTTGGCCCATTTCTATCTAGCCTCTTCTAGGCTAATTCTTACATATTAATTTAGCCCATTTTTCTTTCTTTTTTTTTTTTTTTGAGACAGGGTTTCTCTGTGGTTTTGGAGCCTGTCCTGGAACTAGCTCTTGTAGACCAGGCTGGTCTCGAACTCACAGAGATCTGCCTGCCTCTGCCTCCCGAGTGCTGGGATTAAAGGCGTGCGCCACCACCGCCCGGCTCAATTTAGCCCATTTCTAATCATCCGTGTTGCACCCCAAGGCGCGCTTACCGGGAAGATTCTAGCCTACGTCCATCCTGGGTCGGAGCTGAATCGCGTCTGTCCACGTGGGAGAGCGGAGCATGGCATCTCTGTCTGAGGCATCTTACCTCACTTCCTCTTCCTCCCAGCATTCTGTTCTGTTTACTCCACCTACCTATGTTCTAAGCTATGAGCCCAAGCAGTTTGTTTATTACTTAACCAATGAAATCAACAGATTGATATATGACACTCCCACATCACATGAGGTATTTAGTGTTCCGTACATTCTCCCCTCTTAAGCATTTTAATGTTAACATTTTTAAAACATGTTGACAATAGAGCAAACATTGAGGATATATTATCTACCCTGGGACTTCTACTCAGGGCCTAACAAATAAGGCTCATGAGTACAACTGTGTCTCAGACAGGTTACTGGCATCCAACCTCAGCTGGATAACAAACATCTTAAGGGAATTTGTCAAAATATGAAAAAAAAATAGAACGGCAACCCACTACCCTTTCCCAGACACCCTTATTTGAAAAGAATAATCACACATTGCCCGATATTTAAATGAACAATTGGCTATTGAGATGATGGGCATCCCATTCTACACATTGCAATAAAAAAATATGTCTCTAAGTGAAAGGACAATCAAAGAACAAAGGCCACAGAAGGAATATAAGGAACACAAATTAAATTTGCCTAAATAGATGTGCCACACACATAGCACACTTTGATATCCACCTCAAATGTTGAAAACTAGAAAGCACAATGCAGTGATCTCCACATCAATCTTGAGTCAACATGCTATGTAGTTTGTTTCAAGGCTTTAATGAAAATAGATGAAATAAGCTTTATTTCCTTAACCTGAAGAAACTGTGACATCTAAGTTCTTTACAAAATCATTTACATAAATAGGATTTTTCTCTTGTATGAGTTCTTCCCTAGTTCCTGATATCAAGGCTTTAAAATATTTAAAGGGCTAGAGACATGGCTGAGCTCATTCTCAGCATTCTCAGGAACAAAGACAGAATTTTGGCAACTTCCTGTAATTCATGCTGCAAGATGTTTTGAGGGTCTAACCTTGGGAATCAGAATGTACATATCCAAACAAAGACACACTGATATTGCATTACCTAAATTTAAACAAGTCTTTACACAAGCGTTCTCTCTTGAATGGTTTTCTATCATAAGCATTCACTCCTGTAACGGGTATTGAGACATTTAGAGGCTTGCAGAGTTCTTCTTCATTGAAGTAGTTCATGAAAAGAAAGCTGGCATGTAGGCTTGAATCAGGATTGAAATCAATTCTCAGCTGGTGTTCCCATTCGGGAAGTTTTAGGAAATGCTGCCCTGCTGAAGAAATATGGCACTAGGCGTGGGTCTGAGTTTCCAGTCATGTACCATTTCCAGTTTCTACTCTCTGTTTCACGGCTCAGGCTGAGGATGTAAGAGTGCAGTGTCTTGCTTTAGCTGCCAGGTTTGACAATTGTTACCAAGTCACTTTCTTGATGATCCTGTATCTGTCTGGAACCAAGGGACAAATTAAACCCTTTTGTGAGTTGACTGAGACATTGCTTTATTACAGCAACAGAAAATGCACTAGTAATACCCGTAATGTTTTACTCATGGATTTCTTATTTCCTATGATTAAAAAGAAGTATGAAATCTAAAAGGGTTACTTTATAATTCAAACTCATAGGCTTTTGTCTATGTGAGTGTGCATGTACAAAGACATCATAATTCTTTAACAAATTGCTGATACTTGCCAGGTTTTGTTTTTCCAGAAAAAAATTATCTTGTGTAATGGAATGTAGATATATTAACTAAAGATCTTACCAAATCCTTCATAGTATTTTTTCCTATAGTATGCATTTTTCAGATCATCAAAGATTTATTTATGTGATATGTACAGGCATTAAAAGCCCAGTTACATAGTAAATGTTTACTCTTGTGTAAAGACTACCATGAACTGCATAACTCTGCCACACTGACTACATTAATAGGGTTTCTCTGCAGTATGTTTTTTTCTCAGTATTTTGAAGACTACTGATACATGCTAAGGTTTTACCACATTGATTACATTCATAAGGTTCCTCTTTAGTATGAATATGAGTTCTTTTAAGTTTTAGGAGACTACTTTAACTTACAAATGCTTTGTCACACTGATTACATTCATAAGGTTCCCCTCCAGTGTGAGTTATTTCATGCATTGAACATATCTGTGTTGTGTAATGGCTTTACCACATTTATTGTATTCATAGGGCTTCTCTTCAGTATGTCTTCTTTTATGTCTTTGGTGATGACTGTAATATGCAAAGGCTTTATCACATTGATTAAATTTTAAGGTTTCTCTCCAGTATGTGTTCTTTTATGTTGCTGAAGATAAGCATGACATAAAAAGGTTTTGCCACATTGGTTACATTCATAAGGTTTCTCTCTAACATGAATTCTTTCATGTATTTTGATATTACTGTGATACGCAAAGGCTTTACCACATTGGTTGCATTCATAGGGTTTCTCTCCAGTATGTGTTCTTTTATGTATTTTGAGACTACTCTGACATACAAAAGTTTTACCACACTGCTTACATTTATATGGTTTCTCTCCAGTATGTTTTCTTTTATGTATTACAAGATGACTATGACGTTTAAAGGCTTTACCACACTGCTTACATTCATAAGGTTTCTCTCCAGAATGTATTCTTTTATGATATTGGAGATTACTGTGTTGTGAAAAGGCTTTACCACACTGATTACATTCATAGGGTTTCTCTCCAGTATGTTTTCTTTTATGTATTACAAGATGACTACGACGTGTAAAGGCTTTACCACACTGCTTACATTTATAAGGTTTCTCTCCAGAATGTATTCTTTTATGATGTTGGAGATTACTGTTTTGTGAAAAGGCTTTACCACACTGATTACATTCATAGGGTTTCTCACCAGTATGCTTTCTTTTATGTATTAGTAGATGATTATGCCGTGTAAAGGCTTTTCCACACTGGTTACATTCATGTGTTCTTTTTTGACTTTGGTGATGACTATAATATGCAAAGGCTTTATCACACTGATTACATTCATAGGGTTTCTCTCCAGCATGTGTTCTTTTATGTATCTGAAGATGACTGTGATATGGAAAAGTGTTAACACATTGAATATTTTCAAACAGTTTCTCTTCAGTATGATTTCTTTCATGCCTTCCATGTCTTCTAGAACTTTGACAATATTTTTCAGTATATTTGTCTTCCCAACTGTAGCCTACAGCAGTTAGGTTCCCATAGGTCTCCAGCATCACATCTTTGTACAGATTCTTCTGGGAAGGATTCAGCAAAGCCCACTCTTCCAGAGTGAAGTTAACATGAACATCATCATAGGTCACTGTCTTCATGTCGTGGTGTTGAAGTTCGCCCTGATCTCTTCTCAGTTTCCTGCAGATGCAAAGACACAGCACACAACACTAATGGTGGTAGCTCCTCTTCAAAGCCCAGCCTGAAACCTAGAAGAAAATCTTAAAGAATTGATAGATTAGAAGAAGAATCAATAAAACCAAAAGTTTTTTTGAAAAACCTTTGAATTAAGGAAAATAAAGAGTTACTTTCTTACTTTGGGTTATTATTGCTACGATGAAATAATGACCAAAGCAGCTTAGAGAGGAATTTTACTTCAGCTCATAGGTAAGAGTCCATCACTGAGGGAAGTCAGGACAGGAACTCAAACAAGGAAGGGACCTGGAGGCAGGAGCTGATGCAGAGGCCATGGAGGGGTGCTGCTTATTGTATTGCTCCTCATGGCTTGCTCCACCTGCTTTCTTAGAGAACCCAGGACCACCAGCTTAGGGATGACATCTCCCACAATGGGCTTGGCCTTCTCCCATCAGTCACTAAGAAAATGCTTTATAGGTTTTTCTGCAGCCCAATCTTATAGGGGCATTTTCTTAATTGAGCCTTCCTCCTCTCAAATGACTTCAGTTTATGTCAAGTTGACAAAATTACCTGGCACACTTAATGAAATAAGAATTACAATACTATGAACAACTCTTATGTGTGAAAAGTGGGCTATGGGTAGAACATATGAAGTCATGGGTCCAACCCACAATGCTGTGAAAATATTAAACAACCTAGATAAAAATGAAATAAATTCTTATACAAACTGCCCAGACTGGCTCTAAGAAGACAGAAACAATGAACTTGGATCAAAAAAAAAAAAATCCACAAAGAAAAGCTAGATGGATAGAGATGATTGAACTCTATCAATCTATAACATTAAAAACTGTAGGAGGCTGTTTTCATTATTCCAGACTGCACTATAGCCCAGCATATACCAAAATGGAGCCACTTATTCCAAACTCAAAACTATCTGATCTTCCCAGATATGAAGGGGAAAGTCAAATTTGCCAAACAAAAAAACAAAAAAACAACAAAAAAAAAACCTAGTTTCAGTTAGTATAAGGAAATTCACTCTCCTTAATCCTCACATAAAAGACACATGTTGACTGTATTTTAAATTATTCTTTGTCCTAGCTTACAAGGAAAGTAACTGAGTAATCTAATTTTTTAAATTGTTCTTTAATTTCTGCTTCCTACACCTTTTTTCCTGCCCGTGTAACAGCTCTTGTGATGAGTCCATCACTGGGTTCCACCTCAGTGGGATGGAATCTTGTTAACGCTAAAGAGGTGTTGCAGCCAACTGAGATCTTCACATTGTAATTCTGTCCTTCCACAAAAATACTTTTCAACTATATCAAACTACATGGAAAAACATCTCCAAGCAGTCTATGAAACTAGTATTACCCCAGGTACCAAGGCCCCACTATAGGTTTCCATTCTTTATCAATAGAGATTGTGATAAATTTTTTAAATAAAATACAAGCAAACCCAATCTAAGATCATATTTAAAACTGGGTTATCCAGAATTTAAGAGTGGTTCAACATATAAAACCAGCTGTATACACATTTGTAGTGTTAGATTTATTATTATTATTTTAAAGCATCTATAGAAAGAGAAGACAGGAAGCCAGGCTTGGTCTGATCTAAGTGGAACCATATTTATTCAGGTCAAGGGGACATCTTGTCACCCATGTGTACAGATGGCTAAATGGGTGGGGATGACTACCATAGTCAGCAAGGGAAGCTGGGACCTATAGTAAGTCCTTCAGCAGGAAACTAGCAAATAGGATAAAGGAAATAGCACCTAATCACCTCAACACTAAATTACGATACAACAAATTAAGACAAGGAATATAGCATGCTGAGGAGTGTCCACAAAAAACAGCCAACATCCTACTCCACGATGAAAGGACAAAGCTTTCCCTCTGAGGTCAAGGACAAGAAAAAGAACTATGTTTACTTATTCAACAGCATACTACAAGTTGTCGGGCTACAGATACAGCTCTGCAGTCTTAAGGACCAATCACAGCCACAGTACTGGGGAGAGATTGGAATTCAGCAGACTCACTGTCTTAGGGTTTCTAAGAGGGTTATGTCTTAGGGTTTGATGTGAAGAGACACTATGACCACAGCAACTCTTATAATAAAAGAATTCATTGAAGTGGCAGCTTACAGTTGAGAGGTTTAGTCCATTATCATCCTAGTGGGGAGCATAGTGGTATACAGGCAGACATGGTGCTATCTACATCTTGATCAGAAGGGAACAGGAAGTGAACTGTCTCACTGGGAGTAGCTTGAGCATGAGAGGCCTCAAAGCCCATCCCTAACAGTGATACACTTCCTTCAACAAGGCCACACCTACAAAGCCACACCTCTTAATAGCGCCACTCCCTTTGGGAGCCATTTCCTTTCAAACATCACTTGGGCTGTTTCATGCTCTCTGGAACACTCGTTCCTGGCCCACCTCTGTGTCTAAACTACAATCTTGTGACTAATAGATAAACCTTTTGAAATCTTAACTTAGCAGACCACTGGCTCTATCAACCCAGAAGCTAAGAATATCATTAGACTGCATCCTGGGCCTTTAGAAAAAGCTTCCCATATCTTGCTATAACCACCTCTGATATATCCACCAATGTATTCTAAACTTACTTTGATTTTTAACTTTCTTAGTTCTGTAAAAGTATAAAACTTTTCTGAAACTGCTTCCACACTGAAACACGGAATTTAGGATAAATTAAATCTGTGTTCCTAAGTCATGGTCACTCATAATGACTCCAGAATAAATTATATCTTATTCTCTTTGAGATGAAAACTGGTTTTTGCAGCAATACTTTCTTTTTTCTGGGGTTAAAATTGAGAATAGTACGAATTGGTAGTAAATGGTCTGATTATGTATGTATGTATGTGTATACATACACACGCACACATTGTTTGGGGTTGTTTACCGCTAGAGACCTAGTTTCTCATGTGCCAATGAGACAATTTTTGTCCCCTCTTTATTACCTCACAAGAAGCGTGAGAGGAGAGGTAAAAGAATACAATAGAAAGCAGGAGTTGTGGATTAACACGCCGCTTAAACCCTTCATTACAATCCAAACTGTGATTGGTCAAAACGGAAGTGACTGTGTCACACTGGGAAACTACACTACTTGTTCACTAGAGAGCCCGAAAGAGTGAAAGCACACACTAGTTACTATTTCTATTCTAACAAGATCTTCTTCCATGTTTGATGACACATGTTTAATTGGTGCGTGACACGGCATGTGGTGTAGTTAATTGTTTTCATTGGAAAGAAGACATTTCGAGGTTTAATGTCTGTAATGTTCATTGGCTCCTGATTTATTAGAAAGTTTCACACAGGAACAAAGTAAACAGCCCCAAACAGTGTGTGTGTGTATGGACACATACACGTATGGAATCAGTTTCCTACCTCGGCTAGGTCAAGGCCGTCCTCTCCTAAGTAGGTTTCCATCAGCAGGTGAGAGGGTTAGTACAGCTGAGGCCAAGAGTGGATTTCAGAGCTCGCTCAAGCTCTTGCTTCAAAATGGACCAGCCACGACTACTCCGCGCCCCAAAGGACGCTTACTCGGAGGGCTTCCCTTGGAACCGATAGCCGTCTACCGCCAAGGGCTGGGCTCCCGTAGGCATGAAAGCCCGGGCAAGTCCCATTCCAACTCTCCAGCAACGCGAGTCGCGGTAACAGAGACTTTCTAGACCTCTGCCTCCGGGAGGAGGTCAGGACGGCGCGGGATCGTGCTGTCCTGATCCCAACGAGCCACCCTTCCCAGGCCTCCGCGCGATCGATTGATAGCGCCTGCGCGGCGCGTGCGGCGCTCGACTGGCGCGGCCTAGGGGGCGGAGCGTTCGCCGCCACTGCCGCCGCCGCCGCCGCGGGCCCGGTCTGTGAGGAAAGCCTAGGCTGTGTGCTTCCCGGCTCGTCGAGCGTCCGCGCCGCTTCTCCCGCTTCCCGTCCGCTGCGGCCGGGCGAGCGGAGGCCTTCCTGAGCCATGGAGGACGAGGTGGTTCGCATTGCCAAGAAGATGGACAAGATGGTGCAGAAGAAGAACGCGGTGAGCGGGCGGGTCTCGGGCAGGCCGCGGCCGAAACCGCAGCCCCGGCCCACGCGGAGCCAGCCAGTCAGGGCCGGGCCGCGCCGCGCGCCCTTCCGGCTTCCACGTCGGTGCTGACAACGTCCGCGGGGAGCCCCGGAGCGAAGCCCTCGCCGGCTGAGAGAAGACGCGATGGCCGCGGCTTCTCGGGGTGGCGCGGTCCGTTTCAGGCGGGCGGTAAAGTGTGTTGATCCCAGCTCCGCCTCACCCCGGGCATCGCGATTAGACACAGCCCGCCGTCTCTTAGCAAGTAGGCCTGGGTGCGATGACAGGACCGCCACGGTTAAAAACCACACTCCTTCCTGGTGGGCCCCTGGTGGGTGGCTGTGGTGCTGAGTTAGTGGCGGGCCGGCGACATCGTCTGTGTTAGGAGATCCCACTTTTCCATCCCTTTGCTTGACACCTGAGTTTATTCTTCGGTGCACTCGGCACATTTTCATTATCAAAGTGCTAGAAATAATTTGTCCCCATTTAAGAAATTAAAGCCGTAAGGGGATGCTTACATGTGTGCCGCGCTTTAGAGTCACAAACCCGTGCAGAATTCTTTTGTAGCTAGGACACAGTTGTGAGTATATTCATTTTGTAAGCTTAAGTACTGTGCAGTTGTGGTTGAGCCCGGAGCTAGCTAGTTTTCCACTCACTGCCAGCTTAGGAATTAGTGTTAATACCGAATAATTAAGACTTCGGATATCCTTGTTCCTCTTTTTCTTCAATAGGTGCGTTTGCCCGGCATTTAATTTCATGCCCTGTTAATCTGCATTTGCAATTTTATTTTCAGCCATTTCCTGTTTGTTTTCTGTTCCAGATATTAACCTGTGTCGTTTATCGCCCTTACTGATTGAGCCATTTCATTCCTTGCTGCAAGAGATGAGTTTGGGTTATGATAGGTTGAACATTTTTATTTTTTAGATTAAATTGGAAAACTTTCCTCTATGCCTGGAGGTCCCTAGTTTGCTACACTCAAAGCTCTCAGGAGGAAAAACTTATTAACTGGGTAATTTCTTTTCCCTAATCCGTCAGCATAAACTTCAAGTAATTCTCGAGTCTGTTTTCTGATAGTGCACAACCTTAACCAGTATGAAAATTCGCCTTAAGAAAGAAAGATAAAGCTGGTTCTTTTCATTGCTTTTTCTTTCATTTTCCTCTCCACTAAAATTCAAGCAGGCTGATGAAATAAAGAGAAAGGTCAAAATGACAACTCTTTCTCCGTGAATTCTAAAGTTGAAAAACATTAACTTTTATTTATGCGTGTGCACGCGTGCATAGGTCAGAGGACAACTTGAGGCTTTCTCTGAATAGCCCTGGCTTTCCTGGAACACGATCTGTAGACCAGGCTGGCCTCAAACTGCTAAAGACTGCCTGCCTGCCTCTGCCACTTTAGTGCTGGAACTAACGTCCTGGCCCATAACCCTGCCCACTCTCAACCTCCATTGTGTGTGTGTGTGTGTGTGTTGTTTTGTTTTAAAGATGGGGTCTTGCTCTGTAGCTGGAAGCTGACCTGGAACTCCTGGTCTCATGTGATTCTCCTGAGTCCGTTTCTTCTTAAATGAGATTACAGGCATGAACTATGAAAAGGAGCTATTTTTAAGTTATTTTAGACCATAAAAATGGAAACTGCTTGAAGTATGATAGTTGTCACTAATAGACAAATCTAAGTACTGCTTTTTAATAGGCTTTTTTTTTTTGGATTTTCGAGACAGGGTTTCTCCGTAGCTTTTGGTTCCTGTCCTGGAACTAGCTTTTCTAGACCAGGCTGGCCTCGAACTCACAGAGATCCGCCTGCCTCTGCCTCCCGAGTGCTGGGATTAAAGGTGTGCGCCACCACCACCCGGCAAAGTACTGCTTTTTAAATATCATTTCATTTTAATAAAGCTGTAGAGTAGATGTCACTTAATTAAAAACAGCTACCAATTATTGAGCTGGTACTCTGAGCCATGTATTCCTCTAAATCCACTAATTATAAATCTTTTTTTTTTTTTGGATTTTTCGAGACAGGGTTTCTCTGTAGCTTTTGGTTCCTGTCCTGGAACTAGCGCTTGTAGACCAGGCTGGCCTCGAACTCACAGAGATCCACCTGCCTCCCCTTCCCAAGTGCTGGGATTAAAGGAGTGCGCCACCACTGCCCGGCTACTAATTATAAATCTTACCAGTTTTTATTACTCAGATAGTTTTGCTAGTATAGTAGTCCCATTCTATAAAGGAGAACTTGGAAACGTAAACACCACTACGTACATTGTGTCTTTACTGGTTCTGGAAATTCCATATCAATGAACTCTTACAGAATGTGACATAACTAGTTCTTTCACTTACTGTAGTGTTTTGTTTTGTGTTGTTTTTAGACAGAGTGTCACTATGTTGTCTTGACTAGTTAAGAACTCCCTGATTCTCTTTTTAGTATCTTGAGTAGCTGACTGGGACCCAAGATACGTGCCACCATGCTTCGCTTACTATATGTGTTTTAAAGTCTAATCTGTGTCATGTCTTCTTAATATTTCATATTTCATTCTTCATTATTATAGAATAGTTTTTTTTGGGGGGGGGCACAATTTTCGAGACAGGGTTTCTCTGTAGCTTTTTGGTTCCTGTCCTGGAACTAGCTCTTCTAGACCAGGCTGGCCTCGAACTCACAGAGATCACAGTGCTGGGATTAAAGGCGTGCACCACCACCGCCCGGCTTATAGAATAGTATTTTATTGTACTGGCACTTATATCACATTTGGGTTTATCTTTTTGATGTGCATCTAGGCTGTTTCCACTTTAGGTTGTAAAACTATGCTAAGATATTCTTATGTATGTTTGTGTTGGCGTGTTTTTATTTCTGTTAGGAATATACCTCGGAGTAGAAGTACTGAGCCTTGCAGTGTCTGGATAACATTTCTTTTTATCCTGGGTCTGGATGCCTAGGCAAACACTATATTATTAAACTACACCCCAAATCTACTTAACCATTTAGGAAACTATCAAAAAAAAAAAGTAATTCTTTTTTTTTTCCTCCCACAAAGTGGCTCATACCATTTTACATTGCCATCAGTCGTGCTTGACTGTTTTGATCTCATATTGTTCCAATTCTTGTTGATACTTGTCCTTTAAATTACTCTTTAGTGAAATGCTCTGGACATCTTTTTCATATTTACTGGACTTCTGTGTGTCTGTTTTGAAGATAGATCTATATGGGGCCTTTACTCTGCCCACCAAACTGTCTTGTGCCCGGTGTTTCTGCGTTTTAATATTTCACTGTGTACTAGACCATTTCATCTACCTCCTAGGGGCTGTGTTGTTCTCTTCAGTATGTGAAAAGCTTCAAGAGGATTTTTAAAATTAGAAAACAAGAGTATGGATTGGAATCTAGTCAGGCGGTAATACAGCACATGTTCTTAACTATAAGTCCCTTGTACCTCCTGCTTTTGCTTGTGGAGAGGAAGGATATTTGAATCCTATAGTTTTATATAAATTAGGTTGCCTGGAAGTTTGAATACTGTGTTTTGTAAAAAAAAAGAAAAACCACTTCTGTTAACAATAAGAGCGCTAAAAACGTAATAGAATAGTGTGATAGCTATAGTTTATTTTTCAGTCAGTTCTGTGAACTAAATGTGGCTTTGGAAGTTGAGAGTCAAATCTTTCTGTCTCTTGCATCATTACCTATAGGTGATGCTGCAATGAACTTGATGCTGGAGGTAGGTGACTGGGAAGGACAGAATGCAGCTTTTGTGTGGTAGTAAGTTCAGAGCACAATTGTCAGCGGTGGGCCAGAGGAATGGGAAACACAGTTGTGCCGGAGCACAAACTGTAGAGGTTTTTATTGTTTGTTTTGTTTTAATCCCTGGGGCTGGGTGTATAGCTTGGTAGTAGGTTAGCATGTAAGAGACTTTGGCTTCAATCTCCATCATAAAATGAAATTCTGTGAAATCCTAAGGGATTACTGTCTTTTATTGCTATCTGCTCACACAGAATGGAACTTTCTTTTTTTTTTTAGTTTTTCGAGACGGGGTTTCTCTGTACCTTTGGAGCCTGTCCTGGCACTAGCTCTTGTAGACCAGGCTGGCCTCGAACTCACAGAGATCTGCCTCCCGAGTGCTGGGATTAAAGGCGTGCGCCACCACCGCCCGGCCAGAATGGAACTTTTTATATGGCATTAAGTGTCTGTTGAAGGACTGAAGAGATGGCTCAGCTGTTAAGAGAGGACTTCCTGCTCTTGCCGAGGACCTGGGTTTAGTTCCCAGCGCCCACATTGGGGGCTTAGAATTAACTGTAACTCCAGTCCCAGAGGGTCAACTTTCTCTTCTGGCCTCTACAGGCAGCACACACACCAATACATTGCAGACAAACACTCATTCACATAAAATATACAAATTTTTGAAGTACTTAGCACAATAGCTGGTACAGAGTAACTTGATAAGTTGTCACTGAGTTATAATATAATCATACTTTTTTATTCAGCTCATCTTAGTTTATTTTGTAAAGACCCGTGAGTGAATACTGGTTGTAACAATGGTAGTTGTTGAAAACAAGCATAGTTGTGTCTCTTATCCTTTCCTCCCGTCACAGCCTTGGTCTTCTAAACCTATTCTCCCCCAAGGTCTGAGTAGAAACAGAAAGTCAAGTTAAGGTCACTCTGTTGTCTCTACTTGGAAAACGGCTTAAATCATGTGTTGTGTTACTGATATTTTTTTAAAATCAGCTT